ATAAATTTTATATATTTATTCGACTATTATTTTACAGCGGGTATACAGTGTCATTTTTTTTATTTTATTGCATTGAGAACAAATTATCTGCCTATGTGTTTTTTTTTTTGGTTGAAAAGGATATTTGTATAACTAGCATATAAAGACATTACACAGTTAAGTCATTGTTGGGGTACTGTAGGACCCCTACTGAAGCAGTGTTTGGAGTATTGTTTCCATATTACAACCCACAAAAATCCTAACAAAGTCAGTTCCTAGGTTGTCTGCCCAAAATGCATCATTGGCAAACATCGGAGGAACTGCTAGTATACTAGATCTGTTCAAAAAGACTGTCTTCGTTGCTTCCTTGGCTAAGGCATCTACCACCCTATTTTGCTCCCGGTAAGTGTGCTTCATCACGACCCTGTCCATCCTGCCTATTAAGGACCTGCATTCACAAATTATAGGATCATAAGTGAGGTTACCTGTGATTAACATTTGTATAATTTCAGCGGAGTCGGTATTGATTTCTAAAAGAACCAAATTATTTTGCTCAGCAATTGTAGTCCTTTTAGGAGGGCCTTCAGGTCTGCCAAAGTGTTGGTTGTGTGGGGGATATTCTCCATAAACCTAATTATCCATTCTCCATTGTGATTTCTGAATACACCTCCTATTCCTCCCATGTCTGGGTTCCCTTTAGCTGCTCCATCCGTATTAAGTTTGTAAGAGCCTCTCCTTGGTGGCTCCCATTTGATTGTGATTTGATGTGTATTTTTTTTTTTGGTGGAAGCATTTTTTGTCAACACAATGTATTCTGTAGCTTTAGAGATGGTGTTGGAAGTGTTGACAATCTCATTTTTGCCATTGAAGAGATTGTTGTTTCTGGTTAGCCAGATATGCCAGAAACAGAAGGGGATGATGTTTTCCCAGAGGATGTGGCCATTAAAAGGTTTTTTCCTAATTGAACTCCAAGTTGATGGCCATTGTTGGGCTGAAAAGATGGGGTTCTGTTGTCTGCTTTCAATGGACGCTTTGGAGAGTAATTTGTTCCAAAAGCGTACTGCATTGGTACACTCAAAGCAGATATGGTCGACTATTTCTTCATAGTTATTGCAGTAAGAGCACTGGGAGTCACAGTTGACCCCAATTCTGTGGAGGTAGCCCCCAGTGGGTAGCCTTTTGTGGGTAAGAAGCCAGATGAAGTTTTTTACTTTATTGGGTGCCTGGAGTTTCCAGATTCAATTGAAGGTTCCTTCTTCATCTGTTCCAAAACTATTATTAGCTTTGCTAAGAAAGGAGTAAGCAGAACTGTTTGAGTAGGAGCCATTGGCAATCAAACCCCAGATATGATTGTCCTCCTTTGTAGGATTTGGGGGGATGAAGACAGAGTTTATCAAGTTAAGGATACTCGGGGGCAGTTCCATGAATATGGTGGATAGATCTCAAGCCCCTGAGTTGTAGATAGTGTCCACTTTTGCATTTAGGTCATTCAGGGAAAAAGGGCCCTCAATCAAGTCCCTAATTGCCAGTTGATTAGGTATCCAAGCATCATTCAGAAAGTTGACCCTATTTCCTTTACGGACTACCCATCTGCTTTCTTTACTACAAGTGTTCCATCCCTTGAGAATGCACTGCCGTGTAGGGTATTTGGGGTATCTAGGACATCTAATGGCTCCAGTGGTTCTATGTGTTTGGCTTAGGTTGCAGTGCTTATAAATGAGGACTCTTGCCCACAAGCTATTGGTGTTTTGGTAAGTCCTCCAGGCAAGATTAGTGAGGTCTGCTTTGTTTTTTAGATCATCTTTTTGGAGCCCTAAGCCTCCATCAGCTTTCTTTTTTGTGACCTTATCCCAGTTGATTAGGTGCAGTTTTTTCTTGTCTGGAGTGGTGCCCCATATGAAGTTCCTTTGGATTTTATCAATTTGTTTGGTAACTTTGGTTGGCAGATTGATGTATTGTATGACATGACTTGGGATGTTGTTTAAGGAGGACTTGGCCAGGACAGTTCTGCCAGCCATGCTTAGACAAATGGTTTCCATCCTACCAATTTGGACTCCATGTTATCAATTATGAATTGAAAATCTGCACTAGTGGCTTTCTTATGGAAGATGGGGAAACCAAGGTATTTACCAAAGAATGCGGTGGCTTGAATGGATAGAGTGTTGGTGAGGGTCACCAGTGAATCCTGGGATGTATCGGAGGAGAAGAGCACCCTTGACTTGGTAAGGTTTATTTTTTGGCCTGACTTCTCATTGAAATTCTGAAGAATAGAGTGAATGGAATTGCAATTTCTGGTGCTTGCTTTGGCAAACAAGGTAAGGTCATCTGCAAAGAATAGGTGAGATATTTTTGGGCCAGCTCTACTGATACTTATGGGCTGCCAAAGTTTGTCCAAGACAGCCTTATCAATAGACCTTGATAATCTCTCCATACACATTATGAAAAGGTAGGGAGATATTGGGTCTCCTTGCCTTATGCCTATTGAAGGCTTGAATTATTCAGTTTTCCCACCATTAACAAGAATTGAGATGGTGGAAGAGCTAATGCAGGACATAATGAGCTTGTTTAAGCCAGGTGAGAAATTGAAAGCATGTAGTGTCCCTGATGAATGACCACTCCAACCTGTCAAAAGCTTTTTCAAGATCAATTTTGAGGATCATGTTGCCCTGTTTCCCTTTCATTTTCCTAAAGTGAGTGATGTATTCTTGCACGATGATGGCATTATCGCAGGCTCTTCTATTGGAGAGGAAACTGGCTTGACTAGGCCCAATGATGTGGGGCAGTATTGGTTTGATTCTGTTGACAATGATCTTGGTGATGGACTTGTATATTGTGTTACACAGTCCAATTGGCCTGAAGTTTTTCAGCATTGATGCTTGGGGGCATTTAGGAATGAGGCATAACAGGGTTTGGTTCATGGTTTCATCCATGGAGTTGGAAGAGAAGCATTTCTTGCAGAAATTTGTCACAGAGTTGCCCACAATGCTCCAATATTTTTGGTAGAAGAAGGGGTGGAGTCCATCAGGACCAGGAAATTTTAAAGGGCTTATGGGAGAAGATTGCCCTTTTTATTTCCCCCAACTCAAGGGGTCTGTCCAGTATGTCCCTTTGGGAATCAGAAAGGGTATAGGACATAGTAAGATGACCAGTGGTAGCCATGGTGGCTTGGGAGTGGGAGGTATAGAGGTTGGTGAAGAAACTAATTATGGATGTTTGGATGTCATGTTGGTCATAGAGCCAGTTTCCACTCTCATCTTTCAGAGAAAGGATTCTATTCCTTCTTCTTCTATTGAGAGTGGAAGTGTGAAAGAATCTAGTGCTAGCATCACCCCCATTGATCCAGTTAATCCTAGATTTGAGCTTTCAAAAATCCTCTTCATTTTTAAGGATTGAGTTAAGCTCACTAGCCAGATTAGTTTCTAGGTTTAACAAGTAGCTACTGAATTGGTAATTGGGTGATTTTTGGACTCCTGCAATTCTAGCTAGAATTCTTCTTTTCTTGTGGAAGATGTTGCCAAAGGTATCTCTGTTCCACTTAGTTACAATTCTCTTAAAAGAGTCAGTGGATTGGAGGAGAGTGGAATGATTAGTGAAAGCATCATTGATGATGTTTGGGAATGTTGGGTGGCTAGCCCACATGGATTCAAATCTGAAGGGTCTAGTTAATTTGTTGGATGGTGTCCCTACCAAGATAACCTGGATGGGGCAGTGGTCAGAGTGGGTTTTAGGGAGGTGCAACACAGTAGCCTCAGGGTCCTGCTTGATCCAATTTTCATTGGCAAAGCACCTATCAATTCTTTCAAGGATCAGGAAGGCCCTATTATTGTATCTCTTGTTAGACCAAGTGTATTTACTACCTTTGTAACCTAGGTCTAGCAGATTGCATTCATTGATACAGTTCCAGAATAGGTTACTGCGGCTAGGGCTTATGGGGTTGCCCCCAAATTTGTCCCTTGCCTTCAAGACTTCATTGAGGTCTCCTCCCATAAACCAGTTAGTTGTGAGAGTTTTGGAGATTGAAATTAGGTTATCCCACAGAATTTCCCTATCTGCTAAAAAAATACTTGCATAAATTGCGGAGAATAACGAGAGAGTATGATTAGGTAATACCTTCACCATAGCATGGATACCTTGAGGGGTGGTGGCCACCTCATCAACACTCACACTGTCCTCCTTCCACATAATCACGATCCCCCCAGAAAGTTCGATGGCCGGTGATTGGATAATCATATCGAACTAAAGCTCTTCTGCAAGCTTCTTGTGGTTGTCACACCTCCTTTTTACACACCTACCCCGAAGGATAATGTATAAGGGACTTTTTCCATTTAAAGTGACATTATTCGAAATGGGATTATTTATTTATTTTTAGAGTCGCCACTTGGGAAAGGATTGGCTTTTGGTGTCCCAAGTCACCGATTTAATTTAAATCCCAAATCGAGAAAAAATTCAACTTCCCAATTGGAGTCTGCGAACCAGAAATTCTGAATAAGGAATTCTGTTGACCCGAGGGAAGGTGTTAGGCACCCCCGGATCCCGTGGTTCTAGCACGGTCGCTTAAATTATTATAAATGGCCTAATATCTGATTTTAAAATATGTTTATCCTATAGTGCAATTTTAAAATTATTTACCGCTTTTAATTAATTTTAAGGAAATTGCGTTTAAAACATGTTTTTGGATCACGTCACATGAAATGCACCCGGATCCTCGACATATTTTATTCAACGTTTTGGGATTTGGATTTG